AAGGGGAGCGGGGGCCTCTGGTCCCCGCGGATAAGCCGCGTCACGCCCGCGGCGAGGGTGCGGCTCCGAATCCGCCGGACACGCGTGACGGGGGCCGGGGCGTCATCTCCGGGCTCCGTGGTTTTGCAGAGAAACAGACGCACCCACAGCGGGAGGGGCCGCGCCTCGCACCCAGGCCCGGGGCGCGGGGGACCCGCCCGCGTGACTGCGGCCGCTGAACTGAACCACGCGACGTAAAAATGCCAGGGGCACCCTCTGGGCACCGCCAGCAACGTGCCCGCCGCGGGCACGCGGGCCACAGCCGGCGCCCTTCCCGGTCGGGCACCTTCTCCCCCGTGAGAAACGGGGGTCAGGGCGGGCCCCTGCGCCCCTCGCGTCCCTGAAGGGTCAGGCCGGACACACGCGTCCCTGAAGGTCGTGGGCTGAGGGGCGGGGCTCTATCGCCTGGGGTAACAGTCTCCCTCCCTTGGTCTCGATTGGCATTTAGGGCTGAACCCCACGAACAGGAATGACTTCAGGGCTCCCGACATGTACTCTGAGTTACATGCTGGTCAGCGGGCCGTCTGTTCTCTCCCAGCCCCAGGTTTGTTAACGTCCACTCTTAGTGACCACCTGCTTTGGGGTGATTTCGCCGCCCGGATCACCCACGGGTGCAGCCCCGGGCCCGGGTGGTCCGTCTGAGAAGCTCCCTCATCAGCTCTCCCGACAGACAACCTGAGCTCACACCAAAGCCTCAGCTTCTTACAAGGAAATCTGATATTTCTCACGACTTTTATATTAGTTATATTCATTTATTACTCATTTTTATTGAGTTTAAATGCTAAAGTTTATCAGATCTTTACTATAACTACAGGTTTCAACAGACCTGTTTAAGAATTTCCCGTAGCCTGTATATCCAGGTGTCCTGGATTTCTGGCAACACGGCCGGACTGATGGGCGCCGTTTGCCAACAGACGGGACTTTCTCCTCAGCATCTCTCATCTCCGCTTAGAGCATCTACTTAGAAGAAGCAACTCTGGACCCCTCAGCCGGGCTGACAAGCAGAAGCCGCAGTTTTAAAAGCACAACTGATTTTTATATTTCAAAAGCAAGTCAACAAAACTACTTTCTTGCAAAGTAAAAAAAGCCCTGGCCGGGGAGCGCAGTTGGTTAGAGCATCCTCCCGACACACCAAGGTTGTGGGCCTGACGCCCGGTCGGGGCACGTTCAAGAAGCAGCCAGCAAACAAGTGGAGCAACAAGTCCGTGTTCCTCTCTCTGTCTCTCTGTCTCTCAAACCCATGAAGTAAACGAACCACCAGAGCCGCGGCACCTACCGTAGATCTTCTGGATGCCCTGCAGGTCGTCGCTGGGGAGCTGGAAGTTGTCGGTCTCCATGTACTGGTAGAACGGGGCCATGATGGCCGTGGGGTCGTTGGAGTGCTCCAGGCCCAGGGCGTGGCCCAGCTCGTGGACGGCCACGAGGAACAGGTCGTTTCCTGTGCGGCGAGAAGACAACATGGACCGTGAGGGGCAGCACCCGCTGCAGAGCCGAGACGGGCAGCTGGGTGTTGTCGAAATTTTACCCGCGGGAAGCAGGGGGGATCTTGACTTCAGCCACGGGTACGGTTTGATCCGTGGATGTCCCACCTGCAACGTCCAACGTGCTGCTTCAAAGGGGGTTGGGTGGGAAGGTGGGGATCGTGACGTCATGGGAATTTAGAAACAGAAAGGGGCAGACAAAGAAGAAAGGCCGAGAGGGCAGCAGAGACGCCCGTCGGATGGTGATGCGCGTGAGGTAGAACATCCACCTGTGTCGGTCGCACCGGACTCAGTTCAAACAGCAGCTCAGTGAAAAGCGGGGCAGTGGGGAGCCCACTGGGTGCAGGTGAGTGAAGGTCAGCACACGGGGGACGGGTCTTGTCCGGAACAGCGAATCTGTATTTACAGAGCTGAGGCCAGAGCTCAGGCTATTTATCTTTCCTGCTTACATTATTTTTTAAAAATTAAAAGAAAAATCCCATCACAGTTGACCTACAATATTACATTAGTTTCAGGGGTACAGCCCCGTGACTGGGCATTTACATCACTTAGGGATGATCACCGCCTGGCACCATACTCGGTTATCACAACCTTCTGGCGATATTCCTGTGAGGACGCGTTTCTATTCGAAGGCTTCCCGTCCGTACTAACCTCGACTGTAGGGCTACAGCCCTGTAGGCTCCAGTCCCAGTAACCAGACAACTAAATTTACTCTGTAAATATAAAGTCTAACCAGGCCCTTTTCAGCCATAACTGGAGGTCTGCACCCTTGGCCCACCTCTTCCTCCCACCCCCACCCGTGAATCTTTTTCTGACTATCACGCGAAGAACTGGAAGGGGAGAGAAGGGTGGGAAGAGGCCAGGGAGGCCACTGCCCTCACGTGGTTCATACAAGGAAACTACAGTGCTGACCTGTCAGCAAACACCTGTGGTCGCGGGTAGTGGAGGGGACGTGGTCGGGGAAATGCCTGGGGACGCAGAGCCAGTTTGATTTTACCGACGGCTGTGGAGGGGGAACTGCAATGACGGGGATGGTCAGAAGGTCAGGCCGGAGAATGCAAAGGCACAGGACTGCAGTTCCTGGGAAATGGGAAATTATTCTAAAGATGCTACTATGAGTAAGAAAACAACGAAACGTGGCTACTGGGGATCACGTAGGGAGCGTGTCCTGGTCACAGGCAGACACACACACAAGGGGGGGGTATTTATGAAGGGAAGGGGAACGCAGTGTTTGCATGTGGGTAGAATCGGGAGCCGACCTCGGGGCTACGTTCGGTGGACACTCCCACGTGAGAAGGGGGTGGGAAGAAAGGAGCCACCGGGGTTTTTAGACGTCGAGTATTGAACACCAGCCCTAAAGTGAGCACCTCTGGGATTTTAAACCAGACACCTTGGCTAAGACACACATCCGACACCTCGGGACACGGTCAAGCCCGGAGCCGCCCACACCCGGGCAGTCGGGAAGTGTGGCTGGNCCGGGGTTTTTAGACGTCGAGTATTGAACACCAGCCCTAAAGTGAGCACCTCTGGGATTTTAAACCAGACACCTTGGCTAAGACACACATCTGACATCTCGGGACGCGGTCAAGCCCGGAGCCGCCCACACCCGGGCAGTCGGGAAGTGTGGCTGGAAGGGATTACGGGGGGCACAGACTCCAGGACCCAACAAGGGTCTCCAGCAGCCTGACCAACAACACACAGGGACCGAGCACAGACCACGGAGTTGGCTCCAGTTGACCAGAAACAGCCAAGGTGACACATGAGCTCAGAGGTGATTTGGAAAATACCTGTGGACACTCCTGCTTGCTGTTGGCCAACCGGATACAAGCTCTTGGTCAGAGAGTCCCCAGGGGACTGTCAGGGATTGTGTCTTGTTTTTATTCTGCAGAAGGAAGAAACGGAACCTGCGGAACCTCCCGGCCTGTAGGTCCCGTTCCCGTCCCTGGGAGCAGGCGCGCTGAGCCCTGACCTGGGTAATATTATATAACAACCTGCAGGAACCGTCTTCCTCTCGGGCAGATGGATGAAGCCCTCAGTCGCCCACCGAGCTTTCGACTTTGGGAATTATAAACACACTCCAAAATGGTCTTTAGACACATATAATTTTTAATTTTTGGCTAATAAGGAAACTAAGAAAGACCAAAAAGTAAAACAAAGTGCCGGCCGGCATGGCTCAGTGGCTGAGCGTGGACCCATGGACCAGGAGGTCTCGGTTCGTTTAGGGCTCGATCCCCAGGAGGGTGCGTGCAGGAGGCAGCCGATCAATGACTCTCGCTCGTTTCTCTCTCTCTCTCCCTCTCTCTCTCTCTCTCTCTCTAAGCACATCCTTGGGTGAGGATTTTAAAAATATGACTATGCAGTATTTCATATGTAAAAATTGTTATAAATAATTCTAGCACTTATCCTATAAACCTACTCAAACGCTAGAATTTCACCAGCCTCACTGACTCCCTGAAACTGTAAGGAATATATCGGAGCGAGAGAAAATTGAAATAATTTTCCAAATTGCACTATTTCCGTGGTTAAGTTGGAGCCGATCATAAGCCCTTAACCACCAAAATCCGTGGGGAAATTGCTCCCTACCTCCCTGTCATCACTGCCAAGGACAGCGACGTGGATCCCAGGTTCTGATTTTGATTTTCAAAGTAGACTAACTGGTTATGATCCTAAAAGCTGTCCATTTAAGACCCTTATATAAATATTTACATTATTTTCATGTGGCATCTGGACTTGGACTTTTGTGGAGAGTTTTGAGCTCAGCTGGTGATGGAGAATCAGCCATTCGCTACACCCTGGAAGCGTTTCTTCGCTGAGCTGAGCTCATCTTAGAGCAGGAGACCCGCAAGGCTCATGGTGACGCCAGAGGAGGTGCCGCTGGTCCCAGGCTGGTGCACCTCCGAGGGGGAGGCGTCTGAGGACGGGCACCGAGCTCTCTGTGATGCCCACCTGTGCTCTCCATACCCCCCCGGGGATTCTACAAAACATCGTGATGGCATCTAAAGGCAAACGTCTTGAGACGGGAGGGAGGGAGGGAGACAGCGAGCGAGCGCCAGCCCCAGCCATGGGTCCTGTCCTTCGCAGGGCCCAGCGTCCCCGCTACATTCACCCATCGGAGGCGGTTCATTCAGTGCCCACGCTCCCTGGGAGAGGCATCCCCTGTGTGTGATGGAGGGACAGCCACGCCGATGCGTGGACCTGTTAAAAGCACCCGACGGCGACAGGCGCCTTAGTTGAACCAAACTAATTTATTCAATTACAGAAACCGGGAAGATAAAATTAATCCGGGTGCCGCTGTTGCTATGAATACAATTCTACTGAATTAATTTTTTTGGTAAGATATTGAATGTATAACTAAGTCCTTTATACTGTTTTTATATATTCTTCAAAAGTCTTAATAACCTTGCCGAGCGCATTTCATAACATTTTGATGAGAAGCCACTGCCGCCTGCAAGAGCTCAGAAAACCAATTATTTCACACGGAAAACTTGAAAGAAAGTGGGCAAAACCCTGTCTGCGGAACCACATCAGTGTCTGAAGAAATTAAGGGCACGCTTTTCATACTTTAGTAGGAGAGAATTTTAAACTCTGAAAAGACAGGAGGACGGAGGTGCCCCTTGAAAATGCGTGAAAGTTAGAGCAGAGTCTCCGGGGGGCGCCCGGGTGAAGCCACCGCGGAGCCTCCCCCCCAGAGCGCCGGCCCCGACGTGCGCAGGGCCTGTTCTAGACAAGCGTCCTCGTGATTTCAAACCAGGACTGTTTTCACGCAGAGTTTTGCTTTAATATCCCCCACCTCCTACTTCTCTCGGTCAAACTTACGCTTTTCCTTCAATTTTTAATTCACATTTTTTGGGGGGTATGAAAACGTCAACATGATTGGAAGAACTTGATTCTGATCAGATACCATGTCGGGCTTCCGTGCTCTTCACAGGACCCTCTGCTAATTCTGTAGGATACCCGGGTAGGTGGACCACAGAGCCCCCGGCATCTGTGTAAATTACGAGGCATCACAGTGACGTAATCCTAAAACCCACCTCGATTTGAGAACTGGACACCGCCACCTCCTTCCTGCACCAACTCTTACCCGCGTCCACGTACCAACCCCCCCCAGGGCTGGTCACTGTCCCGGCGACGGGGGCATCCTTCCCCGGCTCCGAGGGCCCATTTTTCCACCTGTACCTTTTACTGTCCCTTGTTTTTGTTTTTGTTTTGTTTTAATATGTCTTTATTGATTTCAGAGAGAGGAAGGGAGAGGGAGAGAGAGAGAGAGAAACATCAATGATGAGAGAGAGTCATTGATCGAGCCCGCAACCCGGGCATGTGCCCTGACCGGGAATCGAACCCCGATCGCCTGGATCCCAGGTCGACGCTCAACCGCTGAGCCAGGCCCGGCCGGGCTGCCCCTTGTTTTGAATCTCAGAACAAACAGTGTGTCTTGTGCTCTGCAAGCTCCCTGACTCAGGCCCTTTCTCCACGAATGGGCCCCTTCGCGCTCGCAGCAGGAGCGACTGCTTCCCGGCCGTCTGCCCTCCCCTGTGGTTCAGAATAAACACAGGTAAACGCCGATCCTGCTGGCGAACACCCGTGAGCACGGTGCTTTCTTTGCTGGTGTGAGCAACACGGGTGCGAACGAGGGAGACGGGTCAGGCAGCCGAGGAACCGGACGTGAGTCCCTGGAACCGTCGCCGGTGGGAACGTCAGCGCCGCCAGGTTTTTGCCGCCCCTTTCCCAGCGGCCGCATCGATTCATACCTGCGCCCGCCTCCCATCCTCACTGACACTCGCTGGGACCTTTCGGGTGCGTATTATAGACGCAGACGGTGGGATTTTGTTTTTATTTATTTAAGAACTTTGCTTTGAACTGGCAAGTTCAGTCTATTGATGTTCACGAAGGCCACGGATCTGTTTAGAAATTTAAAAATTATTTTATTCTGATTTTTTAAATTTGTTCTGTCTCATAC